CTATCTATCTATCTATCTATCTATCTATCTATCTATCTATCTATCTAAAGGATTTAGAACGGGGCTGTCAAACTCCAGTCGTCAACGGCCAATGTCCTGTAAGTTTTTAGACGTTTCCCTGCTTCAGCATCAAAGACTGAACCCAATGCCACAGTTGCAGTTTAGTGCAGAACTTGACAGTCCTTCAAAAGGGATTAATTGAATCTGAAGCAGGTGTGCTGAAGCAGAAAAAAAAAGTTTGAAAACCTGAAAACCCCAAGTTTGGCACCCCTAATTCAGAACAACTGCAAATATGGCCGGTCAGCCTTGATCAACAAACCCAAGACCAGTGGGTTCTGTTAATAATGATGCAAATTTACACACATCCATCATCTCCCATCAGTCAGAGGTTGCATTAATAAGAGTTTCATGTTGGGTGTATGAAGAAAAGAAAACAATAATGCAAGATTATCAAAGGAGAAAAAAAATACTCTAAGGGGGGAATAGTAACTGTTATATAGATGATACAGTACAGTAACAACATGATCAATTATATTATCGTTATTACATCAAAACAGAGCATATATTTTTATTATGAGATTTCTTGGGGTATTCAAGGCTGGAAGGTTTCTGAGATTGCAATGTAAGTTAGCCTGAATATAAAGAAAACTGGTTTGCAAAGTTTATTATTGAAAGTCATGAGAGGGAATCCCTGTAAACCCATAAACTGCCGCACAGTCACACAGAATGGAAAGCACATGCCCACACACTATGTGCCAGGAGGGAGCTGTCAGAGTCGCGGGAGTCTGTGTCACTGCCAAAACACACACTCCAAGAGAGACAAAGACAGACACAAAGAAATGCAAACACAGTGGGTAACACAGAAATATAAAGAGGGGAAAAAAAGGAAGCCGGGCTGCACTTAGAAGGAAATAAAAACAAAAAACCCAAACAAAAAGAATGGGACAAAATAAAGAGGAAGTAGAGTCTTACCTGACATTCACTCATTGGCTCTTCCTCTTTAGTTTCCACCTTCTTATCCAGGGTTTCCCCAGCAAGCAAAGACTCTAAAACAGGGCCATCTGGGATCCCCCCTTCCTTCTTCAGAGACGCTTCATAGTCTGGGGAATAAGACAATTACAATCAGGGAACAGCGAAGATCTCAAATTCATGTTGCCATGCACAGCTGAGCTAACACTGCCTTGAAGAAACTATACTTGGCAGTTTCATGAAGCAACAAAAACGGTAGCTTCTGTGCTGTACACATTACCATTATCATAACTATAAAACCTACAGTATATAGTAACTTTTTTTTAATTAAGACTCAAGCACAACAGTTAGTGAAACCACAAAGCCATTAAAATGCTGAAAATGCTAAAAAAAAAAAAGGTTTACTTGGAACATGTCAAATTTAATATCAGTAACAATTTACTTAACTCTTGTACAAGAGAGTTTGGTTGTGTATTATTTAAGCATAATATAATCAAAAGAAGAATTAAAATGTACAAAAACAAATAAACAAATCAGAAAAAGTGGTTAAAGGAGTAACAAAACAGAAAGATGAAATTGAGATCTAAAATACTACATATCTCTTACACAACACATATCAATCAATTTTTATTGATTGATATTGATAATTATTCTTATGGAATAATTTCCATATTTTACAATAGGCTACAGCAGGACTTATAGACCCTAATCTACTATCCTGTCAGAGTACAATGAGTTTACCTGGAGTTTCTGTATTTATTCACTCGTTTTGTTCTGTATATTTGTTAGACTGTACATGAACCAAAATTCTGATATACCTATGTCAAAAACCAACGTTTTGTTCCCAGTAGAACACATTGAATATCAAATGTTGAAAGCAAGACATTGAACTTTCTTCACAAATATCAGGTTGCTTTGCCTTTGATGGCAGTAGCACATATTTTAAAAAGTGGTGTCTGTCTCAAAGAAAAACTGTATCTAATTTTGATAGATCCTCCCCTAGAAGAGTCACAATCAGTGCATGAAAATGCTAAAGAGTTGCCGCTTTATTTTCTTTGGTTCTGAACTGCCGTTGCTCCTCGCTCACTAAATATATTAGAGGCCATTTAAAGTTTATTCACTATTGAAACAAGGGCAATACCAGTACTCCATAAAAGGACATACTTGCATTTAGACAGGTATGGAGTCTCATTTGATATCCTTGATGTGTAATGGCAAAACATTGTCAAATTTGTAAGGATAAATTGTCTTCCATTTCCTGCCACCTTTTCCCTCCACACTCTGTGGAGAACTTAAAGTATAGTTTAAATATGGTGTGTAATGATGGAAAAATAAGGGTCAAACTGCACTGATGAACAGAAAATGGCAGTAGAGAGTAATAAAAGCTCATCACTTTCTTTATACCTACCAATCTTAAACTCAATTGGTACAAGCCGTGGATCCTCCAAAATGTTTAGCCGTCTCTTCTTGCGCCAACAGCGAGCGGGGTATGTGTACAACTGTCCTGGAGCGTGGCCTGAAACACAATGGAACGTAAAGCTATTCTTTTTTATTCAGCTTGAATCAAAACCCTTTCTCAAGAGCCTTTCCCATTCTCTGTTCGGAGAGTGCAAACTTCAAGGGGAAACAAGGGGCAGCGACAACGACTCTTTCTTGCTCGGATCAAATGGAGCACGTTTGAATGAGGGAAATAAGCCATGACAAAACACATAAATGACAGTGGTGTTTATGGATATCTACGGAGTATCATACATTATAGTCATTAATATAACAATGGGTTTTGTAATGTTTCAGAATTTTTCATTTCTAAGACAAAGACCCGTTTGCCGGCACCCAGATGTCACAGAATAAACATACACTTCAAAAATAAGAATAAAAAATTCTTGGAATTTCATCCCAGTATAACTCCAAGTAACTCACAGATAAAAATAAAGCCGTTAATGCACCACACTCTCACACACACACAAGCACACATGTAGAAGTGCATTCTCCTTGGAGAAGTCAGTGCCAGCGGCATGTCATTGCCTACAGGGGTGTCTGAATCGTTGCCAACATACACTGATGTTACACTATGGAAACACCTTCTGGGAAAAGCTAAATACATAAGGAGGTGTGAAGAATGGGAAAACAAAAAAGGATGCTGGAAATGGTGAAGAGGGATACAGATAAGCACAAGCTAAGGACAGAGGGAAGCTGGTGTACGGGTAGAAGGGAGAGAAGAACTTTTGCAGCAGCACAGCTGGCAAACGTAACACACATGCCACAGTGCTCCTCCACCAGCCACATTAGAGTGCTCGAGTAAAAATACACACCTGGTCCGCGGTGGTTCTTCTCCATCCAGATGTAGCAGTTGCTCTGGGCCACACCTGTTTGGGAATCGAGGAAGGGGAGACGCATGGAGCGTTCTGCGCACAGACGGGCATTGTAGCTGCGACAGTGTTCAATGGCCTCCTTGTAAAACTCCTCGCCAAGACTGAGGGCAATACAAGAGGGGAGAAGGATAAAAAGGGGAAGTCAGGAATGAACAGCAACAAGAAAACGCATTTCAAAATATGAAATGTGTGCGCTTCTGTGTTTGAATGGACTAGTTTTTTACATTGTGGGACAAATACATGACTACTTACAAACCTACAGGGGTTGAAATTTTGCCGTTTAGGGACATTAAGTGTTTATTTTGTAGATTAAAAGCTAAACCTGAGACCGTGGCAGCATTTTGTTCATCGAGTTCACCTCCATATACACAAACTATGTCTAACCCTGCACATGAACACCTGAGCCGCACATGAATACACTATCCTGCTTTAGAGGAGGGTAAAGGACACGTTCAGAGGCCCCAGAAAATGGCAAAAGACAAGGTATTCTGGGGTTGTTGGAATTAACGAGAACGACATATGATTAGTATGTCTTTCTAATACTACGATATATATGAAAAATACCATGTATTAAAGATGTCCGTGCATGTATTTGACCAACAATTAACCTTGGTCACAGTAGATGAAATCTCAGCTGGCCCCAGAGTTGAAGCCACACATTCACATGCACGCTCTGTACAGTAGGAGTCACATTTGTTCACTTCAAGAACAATATATGCACCGTATTTTCTCACTCGTACAAGTGAGAGTATGATTAAAATTCAGTGTAATTTGCTTCTTTTTGTCCCTCCTTCTGTCTACCCCTCCAATCAACCCCCCCCCCTTACCTGTTCTTGATGACTGCACCTCCAGATTGCCTGCAGGGTGAAGAAGAAGAAAAAAATCAACAGATGTGTGGTGAGTCACTCCTTTTCACCCCACCCTGATTCATACACAGTTCATTTGGTTTCTCATTCTGTCACACTTTCTTGCTGCTGCACTTATTTTTCCCGTCTTCCACGTTCAACTTTCACACTGTCCCCCGTTCTCCTCCCTCTCTGTTTTTTTGTTTAAATTTTTCAGCCCTGTTTGCACTTATCTTCCCTTTCCTTTTTCTCTCTCCTGTTAATCACTCCTCTCTTGTGTCTTCCTGCTGAGCACAGACATCAAGGTCACTCGGCTCAGCAGACAGTAGATATGGGACACACCAAACTACATGCTCGCACACATGCGCACATGCGTAGAGGGAGCGAGCAGTAGCCTTGCAAAAATAGTTCACTGAAGCTGATGACAGCGTTTTGTTGGGTTTATTTTCATCGCTACAGTGCAGCCATTAAAAGAAGAAGACGCGTTAATTTATTGTACAGTACATGAGAGCTCAAAGTAAATTAAACTATAGTTGCCATGGTGCGAAGTACATATTGTAATAGTAACAGAGCACTCAAACAATGAGCTTTTATGCCATCCTTTTTTACCTCTGCACTTTAATACAATTTCAGGCTCAGGGATATGTTTTAGGAAGGTAGGAGTGTATCATAATGGTCAGAAGCACATACGCTGCATGTATTTTTAAGCAACATTAAATGTATGTGGACCTGAAGTGTATGTGCTTCTGACCATAACATACATGTTAGCACAGAATTGAGCTTCTATCAGACTATACATTTAAAAATATACATTTGTGGGAAAATATACATTCAACTAGACTCAAACAAGCTGAGGCACATTAGACATTAGACAAAAGATCATAAAGGTTTCGAGTCAGTTTGCTGGAACTTAAAAACAGATCCAGACTTTGCTCAAATAAAAAAAAAACAGATTTGTTAGTCACTTCATCATCACACAAAGTGGTCCATCAATTGATTTATATGTACCATGACCATACAGAAAATGTTTTAAGCAACAGAATGTCTTGAGCATTTGTACTCGTTCCACAGCATTAAAGAATTAGATATTACTTGGTCAATAACTCAGTTCTTGCCCTTTGCATATGTTCTGAAGTGAAATGCACGGTGATGCAGTTAAAATGCCCAGTTGAACTACAGCTGCCACTCAACTCTACAATTCTATCTGTGTTCATTACTGGAAGGAGGGCTATCATAAAACTCCTTAAGTATCTTTGATAGTCAAGGAACACTGATAAAAGCATCCCTTCTAGCAACTTTGAATTTATCCAACTTACTAAGACAACCTGTCTTTCAGCAGAAAATTACAACGCATAATTAAAGCAATTTAGAGCAGGTCGAGCTCACTTTCTGTAAAACTGCACAGCGGGGCCTCAGTGGAACATTAAGTTACACCTACATTTTAGCATGACAGTTTGTCCATGTGATATAAAATGCCATCTCATATAAAATGACTCTTGGATCTCTCTCTCTCTCTCTCTCTCTCTCTCTCTCTCTCTCTCTCTCTCTGTATATATATATAGATAGATATTATTTGTAGGAATGTCACCAGCCCGAATGCAGAATCCAAGACAATTAATTAGCACTACTGTGTGTCTATGTTTCTTTCAATCACTCACAAACTGACCTCTATTTGCAAGCATTCAAGCATAACACAGTGCAAATGACATTATCATAGCTTTCCATGTCAAGTGAACTGCAACTGGAGCCAGTTAGGTTCTGAGGTCTGAATTCTAACTTCTGATTAAACTGAAATGGAGCATTTGTCGCTGGAGGATAACCTTGTGTTATTCTAAGACAAAGGTGGTGCAGTTCTAGTTGATCAATTGTCTTCTATTCCGATTTAAGCTAAAAATGTTGTGACTTTTTGGCTATATCTTCTGGGGTTTGAACCATATAGAAACTAAACTGCTATATCGGAAAGCATCTGGCAAACATTGACAGTTAACTTAGGACTCATCCATTGTGCGGTAATGAGTAGGAAATTTGTTCATGGAAAATAGTTGCGAAGAACAATTAAAGCAAGCATATGCTCAAGGATGTATCTTGATCAAGAAAAAAAAATGAATTAGCATTTGCCCAGAAATCTTTTAAAAAGCAGAAAAGGAAAATCTTTGCAAAAAATCTAATCAACTCTTTCTTAGCCCAAGGCCTGAATTTCTGCCAAATTCACATTAATGTGTTAAAAATTTCTTTAGATACCCACTAATTAACAGATGAAAAAGTTAAGTCAGAAGCTTAAAGACTTGACTGGAGTTCATTATTGCAGTTTGCCTCAATAACACACTGTGCAAGGCTGTAGAGGTACACACAGAGCATGTAATCACAATCAGTGCCGAGTTAAAGCTGAATTAGGTTGGAAAAGATTGTACCTCTTTCACATGCATAACATTTTTGACAATGACAAGTAAATCTCTTGGTGGTAGTAAGGACAAATTCAGATATTGCTGAGGTCCGGCCAGCACATGGCATCATCAGAAACTCCTAAACCAGTTCTGAAACCTCCAGGCCATCGCTTGCGCTGTGATGCTTAAACGATGCGACGTGGGCATCAATAGATTGCTCTTATGGCCCCTGATGTGTCACTTGGTATAAGCAGCTTCTGAAAAGAATATGTTTCTTTACAGGTCCGCTGCAGATGGCCAACACAGATGAAGTCAGTGCATTTTTGGACCCGTTGGAGGTGGATCTCCCAAAACTTTGACAACTGACAGCCCTAACTGAAAATTGGCCGTTCAAAAAAAAATAAAGTACTGTGTAAATTAACAGTCATGAACAACGATTCATTCAAGAGACACAGATTCAGAATCTGTGTGTTTGGATTTGGTGCACAAAAGGCAAAGACTTTAAGGCTCCCGTCACACTGACAATAAACTAACACCTACAGAGAATGGCATCTTTCAATTTTGGTACTTCGAATGTGATTGGGGAACTGCATAATTGTTTGTTCGTTTGGAGCCTGAGAGTGGATTCTAAGTGGGAGGAAAACAAATGGTGAAGAGAAAGTTGGGAGAAAACGCCTGAGGGGGGAAAGAAGGGAGAGCAAGTAAGGCTGAGGGAGGAGAGGATCTGAGACGGAGAAAAAAGTGACATCCAAAACAAGAGAGGCAGAAAATATAAGTGGACAGGGAGAAAAAAATGGGCATTGGCGGTTTCAGGTTCTCCAGGAACAAAGCAGGGTGACCCTGTAATTCTGGATGTGGCTCACAGATAAGACAGGGTTGCAGTCACACTCTGGACTAACCTTTATTCCAGCCAATACAAATGAGAGTTTGTCAGCTCTTACATTTGAATCAAAAACTATATTGAGTGGGTGGCAGTAGCTGAGAGAAAACGATCAGCATGCATTTCCTCAAATGCAGTCCCAGATTGTTATGGCCAGCTCACAAAGCAGAATTATGCTGTATTGCAGGGGCAAACGGCTATTCTTAGTGCAGCTAAATAAGCTAAGATAACAGTGTTAGCTAAGTTAATAAGATTTCTCTTGTGCATTAGGAAAAAGCATGTTGTGAGTAACAGCCTACCAAAAAGCGTAGCTATTTATTTAACACAGACAGAGAAAAGAGGTTTAGCTAGCTTTGAAACAGGTGTTTATCAGACGTATATCACAGAGGATTTAGACAATGAACCTCTCAGAGCTGCACGTCTCTGGCTTGTGGCCACTGTGGTCCTGCGACCCAAGCATTTGCTGAGAACACAGACCACAGGAGTTACAACGAGGAACCAACCTGCCCATCATCAAAACCACACAGCCTATGAAGGAAAGCTGAGACAGGATTACATACCAGCACACATGGGGGCTGAGCTTATCCATTGGGAAGCATGAGAATTTCCCTTTTAGATTTTTTATAGATGAAACGTTTCAATATTTTTCTATCGATCATCATAGATTAAACGTATCTATATCTGGGCTCGTATCTTTACAATGAAATATTACACTAGTGGATATGACTAGCTACACAAGCACAGAAAAAAATACAGATGATTCAGTAATGAACTGGTGCCAACTTCCCAATAAACTTGAGTTTAAGACCAAATATGCCTAGTCAGTCTGACGTGATTCATCACTGAATTATATAGATCGGCAATGTGCACGGGCACAGAAAGAGAAAGGATCAGTGTGCATACACACATGCACAGTGCCAAGCATAACGTAATGTAAGTCCTAAACACAGATTCAAATAGGGTAGACACAACAAACAGGATGTACAGCTGCAAGTGTGCAGACAGAAAACATGCATGCATACAAAGTATAGACATGAATTTGAACCTTTAAGCACATGCACACATGCCAACACAAAATTAGATATGGAAAGAGAATGAGAGTGCCTACAGCATGCAGACTGTTTGCTTGTGTGTGTACGTGTGCATGAATCCAAAGCCCACACTGAGTTGTCTGCCTCAGACTCTACTGAGCAAACAGCAGGGAGGGAGAGGCCTCCACAAAAACACTGAAGGAACTGGTATCACTGGGAGCACACGCGCAAATAAACACTCTTGTGCGGCCCGACAGGCAGCGGATACAGAGCAGTCCTAGAAAGTACTGCCGGCCCACTGGGGCCCACCCTGTGTGAGCCATTGTCTGAATCTCTGGGTGATCCCTCAAGTCCCTTCCAGCAGAAGTAGTCCACTTCAGAGCATACTGAGTCTCAGTCCAGTGCATCTACTCTCATTACACACACACACACACATACAATGCCAGCAGCAGTTCCTGACTGGGGTGCAATTAACCATACCAATTAGCTGGCAGCCTTTCCAATAGGGATACATAGGGCTCCCCCTAGAGGCGAAACCACATCATTGGAAAAGCCAAAAAGATATATGAGGGAATTATAAAAACGAGTTCACAATTACAAGAAATGTCCAAGCCAACAAAGGAGTTCAGTTCAGTGGTTTCCAACTGAGGAGAAAGAGGTAATTAAACTCGAATGAAATGAAGCCGTTTGCATGTAAATGGCTTTTGTAAGGGCTG